AATACATCTCACTAAAGCCCTGCTTGCTCCAGATTCTCTCAATTCATATTAAAATAATTAGATTTGGGCATCTCTCGGGAATGAATCTGTTTTCTTTAGTTCCTAATTTGATCATGACAATTTTATAAAATCATTTTAGAGAATTACAAAATACCTATTACATTGTTCAATTCACCATATGTCATTGCTGGCAAAGGCTCAGATAATTTAGATGCTTGTGATTTTTAAGTGGTATTATGCTTTTAACCTGAACCCCAGGGTACAAATCCATATTAACTAACTGACAAAAAATATAGATATTTTTATTTGAGGCAACAAAAAGGTCTAGACTGTGTCAGGCGTAATCAAACATCCCTTCAATACAGAGATCTGAGAGTCCCAGAGCACAGGCTCAATTAGAGCAACTACCACTAGTTAAATGCTAGTTTAACCACAACTGGTTTGTCTGAGTAGTTAGACTAGTTCAAAGAATACTGTTTGATTACATCTACGAGTCCTCTTATTCTGTGAGAAGGAACACAGATTTTTGGGATATCTGTGTATGTCTCTCTCTCTCTCTCTCCCTCCTCTCCTCTCTCTCTCTATGTATGTATGTGTGTGTGTGTGTGTGTGTGTATTTTTACCTCCTCCATTTCCCTCTCCCTTTTTGTTCTCATCCTCTTTCTCTCTTCTTCAAAATTGAGAGAGAGAAAGTATTATCTGTGGTGCACACCTATAATCTCAGCACCTGTGAGGTGGAGGCAGGAGAATCAGGTCAGCTTGGCCTAAATAGTGAGACCCCATCTTAGTCCTAGCCCATTAAAAGGCAAGAGATGAAATCTTGAGATAAAAAGAATCCAGTCGAACTCAACAGCAGGCTCTTTGACCTCCCCACCCTCCAAGGGGGAGCAATCCTGCTAAGCCAGAGGAGGACTTTGCAGCCAGTCCTGAAGATACCTGATAAAACAGGGTCAGATGAAAGGGGAGGAGATCCTCCCCAATCAGTGGACTTGGAAAGGGGCAGGGAGGAGATGAGGGAGGGAGAGTAGGATTTGGAGGGAATGAAGGAGTAGGATACAGCTGGGATACAGAGTTAATAAAATGTAACTAATAATAAAAATAAAAAACAAATAAAAAATTTAAAAAAATAATCCCGTCCACAGCCCTTTAAAATTTGAGGGTTAGCCCATTCATAACCTCCTCAAATCAACAAAGTTGACAAGATAAACAATATAAGTAAGCACTGAAAAACCAATTTTGTTTCAGTGATGACTCTTAAAGATTGAGAAATTAGGGATATTTGCGTTACTTTTTCCAGGAGCCAAGCATTTTAGACTCATCTGGCTGTAAAATACCCTTTGCCTTGGCTGCATCTCAGGGCAGTTACATTAGATCTTTGCTGGGAAAGCTAGTTCTTGATTCGGTCTTTGAAGGGAGAGTTACTCCTTGATATTTTCTAGTTTGCCAAGTGATTTTGATGAAGTTGAGAAGCATTGTGTTTGCTGTTTGAGAAGTCGTTTTACTTGGCTAGGTAGTGTCCACAAGAAGACACTTTTCTGTTATGTAAATGACATTGACAAGGGAAAACATTATTCCATAACTTAGCATACAATTGGGAAAACTGTTTAAAGAATTTGATTAAGTGACCTAGGATCTCATGATTCTAATTAGTGAGTTGAAAGTTGCTAGCTCAAAGGTAAACATTCACTCTTTATAGTCTATTGTGGCAGATGTTGGAGGTAGTGAACCACTAGGAAAAATGAACTTCAGTATGCAAAGTCCATCATAGATACTGGTATCCAACTGAATTCTAGACAAAGTTTTAAACGCACTTGTAAAAATAAAGTGGTTATTTGGCATTGATAAAATGGAGCAAATCTGCAAAGGAGTAAGAGAGTAGTTCTCTCTACTCAAACTCATTTTCAATAGGAAACAATGGGAACAATATGATCTTTACATATGAAAACTTCATAGTGAAATCCATCATTTTGTATGCTAAAAGTATCTATTTAAAATAGCAATGTATGACAGGGCATAGTGGTACACACTTTTAATTCCAGCACTCAAAATACAGAGTCAGGTGAATTTTTTTCTTTTTTTAATTTTAATTTTTATAAATTGCAGTTTGTTCATTTTGTATCCCCCCTGTAGCTCCCTCTCTCCTCCCCTCCCAATCTCACCTTCCCTCCCCTTTCTCTACCTATGCCCCTCCCCCAGTCCACTGATAAGGGAGATCTTCCTCCCTTTCCTTCTGATCCTAGTCTATCAGGTCTCATCAGGACTGGCTGAATTGTCTTCCTCTGTGGCCTGGTAAGGCTGCTCCCCGCTTAGAGGGAAGTGATCAAAGAGTAGGCCAATCAGTTTATGTCAGATACCATCCCTGTTCCCATTACTATGGAACCCACTTGGACACTGAACTTCCATTGGCTACATCTGTGCAGGAGATGGTTGGGTATCAGTCTCAGAAAAGACCACTGTGCCCAGACTTTTTGGTTCTGTTGTTCTCCTTGTGGATCTCCTGTCCTCTCCAGGTCTTACTATTTCCCACTTCTTTCATAAAGTTCCCTGCACACTACCCAAAGGTTGGCCATTAAATCTCAGCATCTGGTTTGATACCCTGCAGGGTAGAGCCTTTCAGAGGCCCTCTGTGGCAGGCTCCTGTCCTGTTCCCTGTTTTCTCCTTCTGATGACCATCAGCTTTGCCTTTCTGGATTGAGCATTTTAGCCAAAGTCCTCCTTCTTGATTAGTTTCTTTAGGTGTACAGATTTTAGTAGGTTTATCCTATATTATATGTCTAATATCCATTTATGAGTGAGTATATACCCTGTGTGTCCTTCTGCTTCTGGGATACCCTACTCTGGATGATCTTTTCTAGTCCCTACCATTTGCCTGCAAATTTCATGATTTCCTTGTTTTTTATTGCTGAGTAATACTCCATTGTGTAGATGTACCACAATTTCTGTATCTATTCTTCCACTGAGGGGCATCTGAGTTGTTTCCAGCTTCTGACTATTACAAATAAAGCTGCTACAAACATGGTTGAGCAAATGTCCTTGTTGTGTACTTGAGCATCTTTTGGATATATGCCTAGGACTGGTATAGCTGGATCTTGAGGAAGCACTATTCCTAATTGTCTGAGAAAGCACCAGATTGATTTCTAAAGTGTTTGTACAAGTTGACATTCCCACCAGCAATGGAGGAGGGTTCCCTTTTCTCCACATCCTCTCCAGCATGTGTTGTCATTTGAATTTTTGATGTTAGCTATTCTGATGGGTGTAAGGTGAAATCTCAAGGTCATTTTGATTTGCATTTCCCTGATGACTAAGGACGTTGAACATTTAAGTGTTTCTCTGCCTTTCGATATTCTTCTACAGAGAATTCTCTGTTTAGCTCTGTACCCAAGTTTTTAATTGGATGACTTGATTTGTTGCTCTTTAACTTCTTTAGTTCTTTATATATTCTGGATATTAGCCCTCTCCCAGATATAGGGTTGGTGAAGATCTTTTCCCAATCTCTAGGCAGTCTTTTTGTTCTGACGACAATGTCCTTTGATTTACAGAAGCTTTTCAGTTTCATGAGGTCCCATTTATTGATTGTTGCTCTTAGAGCCTGTGCTGTTGGTGTTCTGTTCAGGAAGTTGTCTCCTCTGCCAATGAGTTCAAGGCTCTTCCCCACTTTTTCTTCTAACAGGTTTTGTGTGTCTGGTTTTATATCGAGGTCTTTGATCCACTTGGACTTTAGTTTTGTGCAGGGTGATGAGTATGGATATATTTGCATTTTTCTACATGTAGATATCCAGTTAGACCAGCACCGTTTGTTGAAGATGCTATCTTTTTTCCATTATACGATTTTGGCATATTTGTCAAAGATCAGTTGTCCATAAGTGTGTGGGTTTATTTCAGGATCTTCTATTCGATTCCATTGATTCACCAGTCAGTTTCTATGCCAGTATCATGTAGCTTTTAGTATTGTTGCTCTATGGTACAGCTTGAGATCAGGGATGGAGATACCTCCAGAAGATCATTTATTGTAGAGGATTGTTTTAGCAATTCTAGGTTTCTTGTCATTCCATATGAAGTTGAGAATTTTTCTTTAAAGGTCTGTAAAGAATTGCATTGAGTCTGTAGACTGCTTTTGGTAAGATGACCATTTTTACTATGTTAATCTTGCCAAGACAAGAACATGGGAGATCTTTCCATCTTCTGGTATCTTCCTCTAATTCTTTCTTCAGAGACTGGAATTTTTTTCATATAAGTCTTTGACTTTCTTGGTTATGGTCACACCAAGGTACTTTATGTCTTCTGTAGCTAACTTGAAGGGTGTTGTTTCCCTAATTTCTTTCTCAGCCCTTTTGTCCTTTGTATACAGGAGGGCTACTGACTTTTTTGAGTTAATTTTGTGTTCAGCCACTTTGCTGAAGGTTTTTATCAGCCAAAGGAGTTCTCTGGTAGAATTCTTGGGGTCACTCAGGTATAATATCATATCATCTGCAAATAGTGAATCTTTGAGTTCAAGGCTAGCCTGGTCTATGTAGTGAGTTCCAGTCCAGACAGGGCCACATAGTGAGACCCTCATCTCAAAAAAAAAAAAAATTGTAGTAGTACTAGTGTACACCCCAAGTTGCAAAAATATGTAAGTGCCTAATTAAAATGAAAAAGGCATTAATGTTAGGTGAATAAACAAACAAAATGAAAACTTTTTGTTGTTATAATTCTTTTATTTGGTTAATTACTGGTGTTAATCTCTTACTGAGCTTACTCTATGAATTAAACTTCAATATGGCATATATACCCTTTGGCATAACCTCAGTTTCAGGTGTCTAGTGGTGATCATCAGATGTATCTCCATGGGTAAGAGAGCTACTGTAATAAGATACAAACTTTTGCTGGCACAAAATTTTAGTCAAATAAGGAACTGATATAGCCTTCCATCCCTGGGACTTAGTGAGTCTGGTTCAGTTTCTTTCCTAGCCCTGGACCAATGTACTACACTTGCCCTCACTCTCCATCTTTTGTTGCAGATAAAGACTATTTTAAGTGGCTTCATAATCAGAGGCTACTTGGGGAAATGGACCCTGCTAATCAAGACTGTCACCCTGGTACTGGTTGTGTCCTCCGGCCTGAGCCTTGGGAAAGAGGGGCCACTGGTGCATGTGGCTTGTTGCTGTGGCAATTTCTTCAGCAGCCTTTTCTCAAAGTATAGCAAGAATGAGGGCAAGAGGCGTGAGGTGAGCCAGCTCCCTTTTACCTCCACTGGCAGGGAACATAGCTTCTTAGAGTCCTTACCTCATCTTACCAGCCCTTATTCTATGCCCCAACCCCCAGCTCACCTTTAACTATTTGATTTGCAGGTGCTTTCAGCTGCAGCTGCAGCTGGTGTCTCTGTGGCCTTCGGTGCTCCTATAGGAGGTGTGCTCTTCAGTCTAGAGGAGGTGAGAGCGGGCAGAAAGCACTTTCGTGGTTTGGAGTGGCCAGAAATACGTGGGTAGTTGACAGACGTTTTGAATAAGCTTCACATAGTTAATTGAGCAACATAATTTCTGCTATTAAATGTGTTCTCATATACTATTTTTTAAAATTGCCAATGTTTTTGGAGAGATTTCTAGTGTGGAAATAAAGACAACCTAGTTTCCAACTTGGTTTTGGAACATAATAGATCTTTCCAGGGTTAACAAAGACTTTTCTGAAAAGATCAGGATATTTAATTATGTAAGTTTCATGAGCCACACTTTTTGCCACAGCCAGTTGACTGACTGTACTTGCAGCAATATCTATGAGTAGGCATATGACTATGTGGCTGAAAACTTTCTTTATGGGCTTTGAAATTTCACCTTTATTTAGTTCTTAGCTGTCACAGAAATGTTATTTTGTGAACAAATATTTCAGGTAATAAGTAGTTACTTTTGTTCCCCTAACCATTCATAAATATAAAAACTCTGCTGCTTAAAAATATATTTTGTGAGTTAGAATTGATTTGTAGACCAGAATTTTCCAGCCCTCAATCTCTTTTGTCATTCACACAATAAGAATTCTTGAGTTTGGGAGGATTTCTGTGAAATGAACAGTATTATGAGTAAATACATTATCTTTTGTTCATTTTTGCGGTGCTGGGACAAAACTTGGGCCTGGAGCATACCGAACATGTGCTATACCTCTGAGTTACACCCTAAGCATTTTATTTCTCTTATGAATATAGCACAAACCCATTTTAATTAAAGCTGCCCAACTTTTGCTATTTGTTTATTAATGTTTATAGTACGAGGGACTGAACCCAGGATCTTATGATTGCTAGACAAACATCGTACTACCAAATTGTATTCTCAGCTCACCAATCTATATTTAGACATTAATTTTCTTAAGGATTTTTTTGGTCACAACTAAACCTAAACTGATAAAGTGAGTGGCATATATTTTTTGTTTTGACTGTGTCCTTTATGCCAAATTCTATCAATTAGCTGCTAATCAAAGGGAAAGGCTCCAGCAGTCCATTATTTGGTTACTGATTTTCTATTTTTTTTTCTAGGTCAGTTACTACTTTCCTCTGAAAACCTTGTGGAGGTCATTTTTTGCAGCCCTGGTGGCAGCCTTCACACTGCGTTCCATCAACCCCTTTGGAAATAGTCGCCTGGTTCTTTTTTACGTGGAGTATCATACACCCTGGTACATGGCTGAACTCTTCCCCTTCATCCTACTTGGAGTCTTTGGGGGTTTGTGGGGAACCCTCTTTACACGCTGCAACATTGCCTGGTGCAGGAGGCGTAAAACCACCAGGTTGGGGAAGTACCCAGTGTTGGAGGTCATTGTGGTGACAGCCATCACAGCCATCATTGCCTATCCCAATCCATACACTCGTCAGAGTACCAGTGAGCTCATCTCTGAGCTGTTCAATGACTGTGGGGCTCTTGAGTCCTCTCAGCTCTGTGACTACATCAATGACCCCAACATGACTCGGCCTGTGGATGACATTCCGGACCGGCCAGCTGGGGTTGGGGTTTATACAGCCATGTGGCAGCTGGCTTTGGCATTGATCTTCAAAATAGTCATTACTATATTTACCTTTGGCATGAAGGTAAGTGAAGCAGAAAAAAAGGGGGAGGGCATGTTTTTCTGAGTACAGCACATTAGTCTCCAAAATAAAATTATGATTTGAAGAAGAACACTGACCTTTCTGTAATGTTCTCATGTGCGTGGTCTTCTTTTAATTGAAAGGAAATAATAATCTAAACAGCAAGCATATGAAGTACAGATCCTATTTTTATTTTCTTTTTTATTTATTTTTTTGACGAGTCCCACCATGGAAATCTGACTAGCCCAGAATTTGCTATATAGACCAGACCAGCCTTGAACTCACAGACATCTCATGCCTCATAAGAACTAGGATTAAAAGCATGTGGTACCACAATTGGCTATTTCCACTTTCTATTTGAAGAAGCTGTAGATGGCAGCTTGGTCCAACCCAATTTTTGATATATTTATGGGATACAGGGTTGGATGGACATCTAGTCACCTCATTGCCTTCTTAGAGAAATGCAGGTTTAGCTGCTAAGTGGTCAATGGCACAGTGGACAAAGAAAGCCCAATTTAGCCTCTAGTTCAGTCAATAAAACATCCCTCGAGAATCATCTATTTCTATAGAAATGTACTAGGTCTGAAGGGTACAGAATCCAGTACAAAATGCTGCCCTTGAAGGATACATGGCTCCTCTGGTGAGTTACCCCAAAGCCATCATTCACAGAAACTGTACTGAGCAGCATGCAAGCTACATCAGCATTTCAGGGCACAGAGTAATTGTTTCCCTTTCTAAATTCAAGTAGCACCATGGCATGGGCTATTTGTATACATCTTTTCTTGATGTCTTTGAGAACTGTGGATAATAGTGCATGCTTCCATTTTTGGAGAGAAGACAGGTTCTTTCATTTTGGTTTGAAGCACTGTTTTAACCCAGCTCAGATATACATACTTCCAAGGGCACTGAGACATTATTGCTTTCCTTTTCTCTTTGAGATGGTGTCTCTCTGTTTATATCACTCTGTCTCTGAACTTGTTATCCTCCTGCCGCTGCCTCCCTAATACTGTGATTATATATGTTAGTACCATACTTGGCCAAGTTGATCATTTTAAAGTATAGACTTCATTATCATTATGTATATCTACAATACAGTGTAGCCATTGTTTATTTAATTCAGAATATTTTCATTTCGTGAAGACACTGTATTAACAATTATTCTCCACTGGCTCCTCCTTTTGCAGCCATGTATGCGTTCTCTGACACTGTGGGTTTACCTATTTTGGACAGTTCATATGAATGGAATTAAATATGTGGCCTTTCATGTCTGTCACCTTTCACTCAGCATCATGGTTTTAAGGCTCATCGATGGTGTACCATGTTCTAATACTTTGCTCCTTTTATTGGCTAAGTAGTACTTCACTCTGTATATTCCACGTTTTCTTGATCCATTCATCTTTTCATGGGCATTTGGTTGGTTATACCTCTTAGCCGTTGTGAATAGTACCATTATTTCTATTTAAAAACATATCAGAATATACCATTCATACAGAGTTGGTCAGAGCTTGATAAATTTTCATAAAAACACACATGTGTGGACATTACCATTGCCATGTGGTATTTCAAAATGTTTTGTTTTTACTGAGTCTCAGAAATGATGACTTTGTAAGACACAAGATGACTCACTCTTATTCTTCAGTTCCTGTCAAAGGAATTTGTCTTTGTGTTCAAGGAAGATGTTATTAATACCTTTTGGTGCTTACTAAGAGAAGCCTACTTTGAAGTTAAGGAGTTAATGACTGTGGAGTTAGGAAAATTTAGAAAGAGTCAGTTTCTCAGAAATCATTCCAAATTGTAGAAATTGCATATGAGGCTGCCTCCTTCACTTTAGCGAGGTTAAAGATATGCTTCCATCCTCAGATTGATGGCTGCTGGAGTGGTAAAAAGAGCAGCGGCTGTGAGATCTAAAAGTTTGTTGAGTCTCAATGAACACTGGAGTCAGGGAGTTCGGTAGCACACATATGATCACCAGTTAAACCAAAATATGTTTTCATTAATAAAAGAAAACTCACCACTACTAAAACCTATTAGGCCACACAGTCTGCTTCTTTGCTGCCTCTGAGATGGCTGGAAATTATTCTGAAAGCTTCTTGGAAAATGAGTTTAGTAAGGAAAGGGAGGTTTTTCCTCCTCTCTCCCTGATAGATGTCCAGCCATCACCCTTTGAACAGGTCACTGAGTCTTTGAAAAGCTTTTGGAGGATTCAGGCCAGCAATGGTGACAATGCACTCAGTTTCTGTATTTTACCTGGGAGCAATTGAAGGCCTTTCTCATCCATTCTCATGCTGTGGCTTTGACATTTAATTTTCAAAGCCAGTGCGAATGACACAGCTGGGGGAGTGAGAAAGTGGTGAGAGACTCAGGTGGCAAATGCTGGTTTGGAATGTTATCTGCAGTGAAGCTTATCATTCTTTAATGCCCAGGCGACAAAGGGGTTGTCAAAGCATTTGTCTCACCTTTCCCCAGCTTACTTGTTGTAAAGAGCTGTGTCTCCTTTGAGGATCTAAGTGAAATGCAAATGTTGTCGGAATGGGAGACTCTCACTCTCCTTGGAACTGGGTGAATTGGGCCTCTTTTTCTCAGGCTGTCTTTTCTCTGTAATCTCCTTCAAGATTCCCTCAGGCCTCTTCATCCCCAGCATGGCCGTAGGAGCCATGGCAGGCCGGATGGTGGGAATTGGTGTGGAGCAGCTGGCCTACCATCACCATGACTGGATCATCTTCAGGAACTGGTGCAGGCCTGGAGCGGACTGTGTCACACCAGGACTCTATGCAATGGTGGGAGCTGCAGCCTGTCTAGGTACAGCTATAGGTGGGGAAGGAGGAGGGCAGGGTGGTGACATATCTTAGAAGTCAGACAGGAAGAAAAGAAATGGATTTGATCATTGGTTTCACCTGGGATAAGGGTAGACTATCCTCTGGTAACAAGTACATTTCTACATCTCTGTAGCTCATGCATTTTTCAACACACACACACACACACACACACACACACACACACACACACACACACCCTTTACATGTTTGCAGGTTCTCATCTGTTCAGTCTTTCAGAGCCCAGGGTAATGAAATCTCTATTGTCTTACAGCTGTATCATTTAAAACAAAAGTTCTCAATCTGTGGATTATGACTTCTTTCACGGGGGTCGTCTAAAACCATTGACAAACACAGATATTTATATTATGATTCATAATAGTAGGAAAATTACAATTATGAAGTAGCAATGAAAATAATGTTATGGTTGTGGGGAAAGAGGGGAGCAGCCCAAGGAACTGAATTAAAGGGTTGCAGCATTAAGAAAGTTGACAACTATTGCTCTAAAATATGGCTTCTCAACAAGGAGTGTTCTGTCTCTGCTAATATTTGGAATCACTTTTCCAAATAACTCTAAGTGCCACTTGTGTGTAGTGGGCAGAGAGAGCATTGACTTCTTAGTTTGGGAACATAGGACCTTCTTGACAGCACAGAATAGTGCAGCCCCAAATATCTTATATTTTATGGGCTAAGGTTAAGAAATCCTGGTTTAAGTTTATTAGAGTAGGATTTGGTTGCAATTGCCTAGGGATTCAAAGCCAGATCCCTGTCCAATCTAATATTCTTTAAAATCTCTAAAACTTTTTTTTGGCTTCTGAGTTGCTTGCATTGTGAGAAGCTTGGGTAGTCTGGTTGGATCCACTCATCAAAGAGCCATGTATATAACCTGGATGAATACAAAACCTGTGTTCCTTATTGGAGTAGAGCTTCCTGTCAGGCAATATACAGGTCCCTGATGCAAATCTGGGTTTAATAGAACCTGAGACCAGTTATCATGTGGGACTGACTCCTTAGAACAAGTATGGAAATGACTGAAAGGTCTCATTAGAGAACCTGCTTGGGCTGAAATTCTGGTCTGTCAACTTGTCTGTTTACAAAAATCACACATTCACGGGGTCTGTGGCTCAGCTTTCAGATCTCACTGTCCTTTTCTGTTTATAGGTGGAGTAACTAGGATGACAGTGTCACTGGTGGTCATCATGTTTGAATTGACTGGAGGTCTGGAGTATATTGTACCCCTGATGGCAGCGGCTGTCACCAGCAAGTGGGTGGCTGATGCCTTTGGGAAAGAGGGAATTTATGAAGCCCACATCCATCTGAATGGTTACCCATTTCTGGATGTGAAGGATGAGTTCACCCACCGTACCCTGGCCACTGATGTGATGCGGCCCCGGAGGGGAGAACCATCATTGTCGGTATTAACCCAGGACAGCATGACTGTGGAGGATGTGGAAACACTCATCAAGGAGACAGACTACAATGGCTTTCCTGTAGTGGTCTCCAGAGACTCGGAGCGCCTTATTGGCTTTGCCCAGCGGCGGGAGCTGATCTTGGCTATAAGTGAGTAAGGACAGGGAGGCACTCACGTTTTCTTCAGAGCCTAATGGTAGCTTTTGTAGGTCTAGAATCAGCACATGAGTTTCGGGAAATTGCTTGACAAGTCCCTAATATGTCACTCAAGTCTATGTCGTCAGTCTTAAACATGTGCATTTATGGGCAACACTAATTGAATTCAATAGGTTCTATGTACATAATATGTATATGCATATGTATAGAATAAGAGAACATGAAATTTAGAGGAGGATATGGCAAGGAAACATAAGAGGAATTGGAAAGAGAGAATGAGAGGTGCAAATGATATAAATACAGTGAATTCATATACTAAACTCTCAAAAATTTTATGATAAAAATATTTTTTTTAAAAAATCAGAGGCTTCTAAGCTTTGATTTAAGCATATTTATCATCTAGAATCAGGTTAAGATACAAGTTATGATTGAGCCAATTGCAGTGGCTCACACCTATAATCCCAGCTGAGGAGGCACAGGCAGGTGGAACTCTGTGAGTTCGAGGCCAGCCTGGTCCATAAAGGGAGTCCAGGATAGCCAAGACTATGTAGGGAAACCTTTTCTCGAAACAAAAACAACACAGAAACAACAAACAAACAACAACCACAAAAATTCTGATTGAACTGGCCCACTGGATCCTGACATTCTATATTCATTATGAGATTCCCAGTCATGCCGATGCTCCTGCTCCCAACTCACACTCTAAAGAATTAAGGTTTGAACTCAAGCCCTGAGGTAGGTATTCTGGGTTAGAAAGTGGTTGATGTGGGTACAGGCAGTCACTGGGGCTCCTTGATGCTGCTGCTTCTGCATTTTTTAAGGAATTGTTGTCTAAAGCTGACGGAAGGAATACTATAAGAAAAAAGTTGAATAGGCATAGCTTATGTTAAAAATGGACGAAAGGTAGTGTAGTCATCCCGCATAAGTAGAACATTCTCTCTGGTACTTCACTTAGTGCTGCATGTCTTTGCTTTAGTCCATGGCATTACCTCCAGTCCCACCAATTAGGGGCCCATCTGGCTTAGCAAGCAGTATCACTAGAAATTAGTTTGATGTGATTATGTTTTCCTTGTGTTTGACTTGAGGTCAGTTACCCTGAGGGTCAGTTATTTGGATAGCAGACATATGGGTAGGGTGTTCCAAAGACAAGCTGTTCAAAGAAGGAAATCCATGGATCCCCTTGTCCCAACGATGGCTGCAGTGGAAGGAAAGCAGGAGGTATATCTAGATAAGAGTTGTAGGGAGAGCTCCAGGCAAGGAAAAATAATGTGTCTTAGAGAACTAAAGTCCTCTGGACCTCAGGATGTAGCAGGTACAATGGTCATTATAGCCTATCTTCCCATGCATGGCCTACACTATGCCCTGCCCGCCAGCAGTCCTGCTTCATGATCTGTGAAAAAAATACCTCTATATCACGTGGGAGACAAGCCTCTGGCACAACTTTCATGCCCATAGGACAGTGTTATGGTCCACCACATCTTCCAGAATGCTCCTGCAGTTCAACAATAAGACCTTCCTCCTGCGTGACTGTGATTACCTCACTATAAACATGTCTTCACTAGACTGCTATTTATCCTTTGGCCTTTTGTTCCTATTTCCCAGGCACTTCCTTTTCTATTTTTAAAACTCCTTTCCCATATTAAATAGCTTAAAATATATTTAAGATCTCCTCCTCTAAAGCTTTCCAAATGTTAGTGTAGATAAGCACTGCCTTCTAACTTTAATGGTTAGTTCACACAGAAAGCAAAAGTTGCACTTACATTTTAGGTACCATGGCAAATTCTTTTGTGAGCGCTCAGGGATGTTTCTCTTTATATAGGTCTTGTTTTGGAATAGGGAGGTACCTTGAGGGGTAATTCTGCCTTACAAATAATGAGATCATTAAAAATTGTTTAAGTAGGGTTGGGTTTGTTTTAAAATAATGCAATCAGCAGCCTTTAAAATGCATTCAAGCCTCCCAAATCTTTTACACAATGGTTGAATTTAGAAACTGAAGTAATAAATGTCACAGAATCCATTACCTATTGTGCTGCTCCAGGCATACCTGCTAAGACACAGCTTACTAATTTTGCTTAAATCCATTACTGTAATCAAGTGGTAATTGGTAATTAGCATCAACTGGTTGGAGAAGAAACTTAAGCTCTGCAAGCATGGACCCACTCAGAAGCTATGTTTGGAATATGTGAAGAGGCATCATTTAGTGTAAATCATTTTTTCTGTGCATTTGATTAGGCCCATTTTAGTGTAGAATCTGTTATTTACATCACTTGTAGAAAGATGAGGGGTGTTTTGCTGAAAGGAATCAGACAAGCTGTTTTACCTAAGCCATGGAAATTGCAGGATCACCACATTCTGGTGGTGACATTCAGGAACTGTATTTGAGGAATTATATGCCCTTGTATGACTATTGATATAGGACATTAAACATTTTGCTAAAATCTCTCTCTTGCCAAGTTCACTTTTAAGGAGATTAAAAGCAGAGCTACTGCAATGAACATTCAAGAAAGTTATCATTAGTAAAGAATGAGAAATGAGGAAAATAACACTTTACATTCTGTTTGTTTCTCCTAAAACTGAGAAGCATTTTTAAGTTAGAAAACAAGGTAATGGAATTTGTAAAAGTGTTTACATACATATGTGTCATTATGTTCTGTCATTCATAATCCATTTCTAGAATACTAGAACACAGCCATTGTCTTTATATTAGAGAGTTATAGTTAGTGCCACCTTGCCGCCATCAGAGTTATTAGTAATTGGGTATGACCCTTGTTCAAATTCCTAGCAAGTGGACTTTTACCTCTCATTACTGTTTGAAAATATGAAGATCCTTCCGTACTCAGAAGAGCTCAGGCTCTTCAAGTCCTGGCTTATGCTATTAAGCAAGAACAGGTTCCAAGAGGACGTAGTGGAAAGCCACAGAGATGATTAAACGAATGGAAAGTTAAAGTTATGGGGAAGAATTAAGGGAACTCTAATTTTTTTTCATCTGGTGGTGACTTAATAATGATTCTCCAGCGTATGGAAGATGTTTACTTGAATAAAAGGATCCACATTCAGGACCTGAGAAGATAGGTATCAGATCTGCCAGACAAGCTCTGTAAGTGTAGAGGTTTCTCTCTGAAAGCACTGTTAATTACTGGAATGGGTCATGTGGAATAGTGGTGTTAATTACTTTCTGCTAAATGTTAAGTTATACGAAGTGTGTAAGATTTCTCCATGTGTTGCTAGGTAGTATCTTATAAAATAATCTTTTCCTTCTATGTAGTCGTTAGATCATGTCATACTGCTACTTAGCATGAGAGCAGTTGTTTCCAATTTTCCATTTTAACCTTTCTTGTTAATTGTGTTCATTTTATGGAAGCATTCTTATCCAACTGGATAATAGAGAGCATTGCTTCCCTGGAAGCAATTACTCTAAAGTAAAAGCTCTTAACCTTAATACCACTAACATTCGGCTGTGGTTGGGGATGTCCTGCACACTGTAGGGTGTTGAACAGCATCTTTGCTTTCTCCACTAAAATCCAGTGGCACTCCCAGTATCCATTTTGTGACAACCAAAAGGGCCACTAGACATTACCAAATTCCCCTGAGAGTGGGGCCAAAACTGTTCCCAGTTAAGAATTATTGCTCTGAGGCTACTCACAAGCTTGTTGGAGGTTTGAGTGTTTCTAATTTAAAATTTTTCCTCATCTATCACATTTTGTGAAATGCATAGCACCATCACTATATTAATTACCCGCTTTGCATCTGGCATTATTGCTGCTTCCAAAACATGGAATATGAGTTTGCAGAGCTTTAGCAAATGCTTATAAAATATATATCATTTCTAAAGGAGCTGTGTATGTCCACCAGAACTAGTTCTAGTGCAATATTATGATGAAGCCTTCTACATTAAAATATTGAGAGAAAAGTTCTTGAACTCTCAAACATTTAAAAATGATGTTTTTGTTGTATTTTAAAAGCAAAATTAATACATGCTTTTAAGTTATTGAAAAATTCAGAAAAATTTAGAAGGCACCCTCATTCTCACCACTGTTTAAAGAAGGCCATTATAGTTAGCATTTCAGTGCATTTTCTTCATATTTTGTGTCTTAAAATCTGTATGTTTGGGTGTTAAAGATATGGCTCAGGGGTATATGTATCACACCTTTTTCTCCAGAGTTTGAAACCTTACAATAAAACTTTATAATCTAGTTTCAAATTGACCTAGGAGAGTCATTCTGAAGAGATCAGCCATTGTTACCTGGAATAGCAAGAAACAGCTCAGATTCCCTTCTGACCCCAGCTAATGTTTACAATTCTTTATTGGTAGTGGGTAGCCCTTGGATATTTCTTTCTAATGTCTTTTCCATTATATAGGCCCTATTCTACATGACAAACAGCTAGATAAAGCGACATTTAGTAGATTTTATCAAATTCATGCATACATGAATTCATGTGACAAAGATTTTATGTTGATGCTGAAGATATTGCTTAGCAACTAAGAGCACTTGTTGCTCTTCCAGAGGATCCAAGTTTCATTCCTAGCACCCATGTCGGGTAGCTCATAGCTTCCTGTAACTCCAGTTCTAGCGTATCCAATGGCCCCTTCTCACCTTGACAAGCATACACACACAACACTCAAAACAAAAATAAATCTTTAACAAAATGTTTTGTGCCTACTACATGCTTAAATAGACTTGGTCTTGGCACAAGAGATACGCTACTGAGCAAGACTTCATTGAGGTCATAGCTGCTTATTATCAGGGTATCATACAGTTTCAGTAGATTGTGAGGAAACACAAGTGTGCTGTTTATTTCAGCAACTGGGCTGGATAGTTTTATGAGAGGCTTGGAAATTCATTTGATCAGTTCTTGATTAAGGTTTGTGGCTTGATCCAATCCTGATATTCAATCAGATTGTTGAAATGGATGGAAATCATGTTATGTCAGACTTTAAGAGACTAAGTTGGTTTGTGGAAATGAGCAAATAAGTATGTACTAACTATGGCCTCTGTGCCTGAGAACTTTAAAACAGAATCCTTTTGGATTAAGAGACAAGAGCACAGTGTGTATAGCCTGTAGTGTGGATTGTACAGGATCTGCAGTTGAAAATATGCTGTACATCAGTGTCATCGGTTATTTGTGGTTGAATCACATCTCATTTGATGTAGCTAGATTCAAACTGACCCATATAAGGTACAGACATTTACCCAACAGGCCCTCCTTTCCTCTTTACAACAGAGCCCCCCTTTTAGACTCAGCCTGATCCTAATGCTGCCAGTTTTCCATCAGAGTACTCTATTACACTAAATGATCTTAGAGGAGGCAAAAAGAATGTTATTCTTGAAGAAACCATATAGGTGAATTGCAGTAGTCTTTGAGAAGGTTAAGAACTGAACTGTAGAAACTGGGATTCATTTTTAAGGCAGGCTCTGATGTACATTTTCCCTAACCTTTTCCCATGAACTAAAAGGAAGATTAAAATTCCTACAGAAGGAAAATGGCCTTGGAGAAATATCTTGAGACTGATGGATTTATTTCATGTGTGACTTAAAATAGTTTGGGTTTCTAATAAAATAGTTTGGGTTTCTGTATTTCTAATGAATTCCGGTTACGCTACTTTTCTTCAGCTTTATATGGCCTTGCCTACAGACAGAAATAAACTAATTGCTACCATAACAGTTTTTCTATCTTTCTTTGTTAAATCTATGAAATGACACATTTTAAACAAAGGAGAATCAAGAGGCGGATGGATGCAGCTTTTCTGGGGTTGTTTCTTTGGTCCCAAGGGTCATATTTGGGATTAAGCTCTATTTCTGGGATGTGAGCCTGGGCAAGTCTTATTGGTTTTTTTGGTTTCTCATTCTTCTAGGATTAATAATGCCACTTAGGCCAGTTGTAAAGTTATTTGAAAAACAAACAGACAAACAAAAAAACAATGTGTGAAGTCAGTGAAATGAGGTTTCCTGTCCTCATAAACTTCAGCCCATGGTGAGATGGTACAGAAGCGAGAATGGAGGACCTTTGGTCATTTGGCGTACTCTGGAGTCTAGAAGAAAACAGTGAACATCTGCAAAGGACCATGTTGGTGGGGGCATATCTTGCAATATGTTTGCAGTGAACATTCTGGTCACAGCAGGGGTCCCCCTCAGGAATCCCCTGGAGGGATGCCAGATTCACAGATGTTTGGCTGAAGTACTTGCTATGACTGTGCCTTTTGCCTTCTGAATTCCTCTTTGTGAGTTTCTGAAATGCTGTATGTGGACAGGCAGGCATAATTAAGATTTTTGTGTGTGGCTTATTTTTTTTCTCACTCTTATTCTAGAAAATGCCAGACAGAGACAGGAGGGTATTGTGAGCAATTCCATCATGTACTTCACAGAGGAGCCCCCTGAGCTGCCAGCCAACAGCCCGCATCCACTGAAGCTGAGACGCATTCTGAACCTGAGCCCTTTCACTGTCACAGACCACACCCCCATGGAGACAGTGGTGGACATCTTTCGGAAACTGGGGCTCCGGCAATGCCTCGTGACACGGAGTGGGTGAGTAGCCTGACAAGGGAAGAGAAAATGTGTACTGTGGCCAGACTTAATGTGTCTGCCCTTAAAAATACACTGGAGTAGGCCATCCAGGACAGAGGCTACCACTAAACTGAGTCGAATGTATTGAGAAAGAAATGTACAAGAAGCTTGGGAACTTGGAGCAGAGGTGGGACCAGTGGTTCTAGGCTAGACTATGGGCTTGGTTCAGTCTGAAGGTTGAGTCAAAGGTTAGAGCTAAAGAATAGCTTGTTTCTTCTGCCATTTGACATCTGGCCTAGGGAGAATGCATAACTAGTTCTGCTAGTCCATGATATAAATGCTACTCAAAATCATAGTACTATGACAAAAGGAGCAGCAATTAATACACTAATTATGGGGAAAATAGATTTAGTGCACAATTTTCAAAACTTTCATCAGAACTACATCATTTTAGAAGGATGGGAACCTAAAACCCACAGTAAGTTTGTATATTTTACATAGACTGAATTATTGGGAAATACACAAATATGACAACAAACACTTTATTTTCCCTTGGAGGAAAAAAAAAAAACTGATGTCAGTAAAGTGGACACATGAAGGGCTGTTGCTCTAAGGAGAGAATGGGAATTTATCACAGCAAGCAGGATGGGTGTGGCTCCTAACTCTTACATGAGGGCAGTGCATGTGTGTGTGTGTAACTGTGTATGTGTGTGGGGGGGTTTGTTTGGCTGGGAATAACGTTCTTTGCTCACCTACATTATCATTGATGTTATTACCCAAAAGCATATGCTACATCTATGGTTTTCTCAGACTGATCCCTAATATATCATTGTGTTTGAAAAAAAATGACACCTTTGTTACACAAATAGTATTAGAAAACTTAGGAATTTGGTAAATCCATGGCATAATCTCTGAAACTTTTGCTTTGTGTTGTCATAGGCCAGGGAATGAACAACACAAATATCAAATTGCCATGATAATGCCTGAAGTGTAATTCTCTGAGGGCCATTCTTCAGGTCAAGGGTTGTGGTCCAAGTTCCATATCCTCAGAAGACAGGATAGAAAAAATTGCTGGAAGCCAGGTCATTTACTCACTGTACTCCTTGGTTGGAAGTTCGAGAGAAGAGATGTTGTATATATGATACCAAACATAGTTTAGGTCTCTGTTGAACCCAGAGGTTGAACTGTTTAACATAGTCTACAATTCTAGAACCAAAGTACTGTAGTTTAACCCAGTAGTCCTCAACAAGGATATTTTTTTAATTCCCTGCTAGATCTGGAGACACAACCAGAGGAAGTGGTGCTATATACTTGTGTTGTGGGTAGAGATTGATGGTGCTGCTAAATAGTCTACAATGTACAACACATTTCCTGCAACAAAATCACAAATTTGACTTAAAATCAAACATCACGCTAGTGTCATAGTAGAAGGACCCTAAGTTGAATATTGTTTCTAAGAACGGAATCTTTCATTGCAGAGTAATACTCCATTGTGTAGAGGTACTACAATTTCTGCATCCATTCTTCAGTAGAAGGGCATCTGGGCTGTTTCTAGATTCTGGCTATTACAGATAAAGCTGCTATAAACATGGTTGAGCAAATGTCTTTATTGTGTAGTTGAGCCTCTTTTGGATATATGCCTAGGAGTGGTATAGCTGGATCTTGAGGAAGCGCTATTCCTAGTTGTCTGAGGAAGCACCAGATTGATTTCCAGAGTAGTTGTACAAGTTTACATTCCCACCAGCGGTGTAGGAGGGTTCCCCTTTCTCCACATCCTCTCCAGCATGTGTTGTCCCTTGAGTTTTTCATCTTGGCCATTCTGATGGGTGTAAAGTGAAATCTCAGGGTCATTTCGATTTGCATTTCCCTAATGGCTAAAGACGTTGAACATTTCTTTAAGTGTTTCTCTGCCGTTCGATATTCGTCTACAGAGCGTTCTCTGTTTAACTCTGTTCCCCATTTTTTATTTGGATTACTTGGTTTGCTGCTTTTCAGCTTCTTTAGTTTTTTATATATACTGGATATTAGCCCTCTGTCAGATACACAATGGAGAATTACTCTGCAATGAAAAATAAGGAAATCATGAAATTTGCAGGTAAATGGTGGGACCTGGAAAGGATCATCCTGAGTGAGCTGTCCCAGAAGCAGAAAGACACACATGGTATATACTCACTCATATAGACATATAACATAGGATAAACCTAGTAAAATCTGTACATCTAAAGAAACTAATCAAGAGAGAGGACCCTGACTAAAACGTCCAATCCCAATTCCTAAAGGCAAAGAGGATGGACATCAGAAGAAGAAGAAAACAGAAAACAACCTAGGAACCTGCCACAGAGGGCCTCTGAAAGGCTCTGCCCTGCAGACTATCAAAGCAGATGCTGAGACTTATGGCCAACTCTTGGCAGAGTGCATGGAATATTATGTAGGAAGTGGTAAATAGTAAGAGCTGGAGAGGACAGGAAACCCCCAAGGAGAGCAACAGAACCAGAAAATTTGAACACAGCGGTCTTCCCAGAGACTCATACTCCGACCAAGTACCATGCATGGAGATAACCTAGAACCCTTGCACAGATGTAGCCCATGGCAGTTTAGTGTCCAAGTGGGTTCCATAGTAATAGGAACAGAGACTGTCTCTGACATGAACTGATTGGCCTGCTTTTTAATTACCTCCCCCTGAGGGGCGAGCAGCCTTACCAGGCCACAGAAGATGATAATGCAGCCACTTCTGATGAGAACTGATAGATTAATATCAGAAGGAAGGAGAGGAGGACCTCACCTATCAGTGGACTTGGGGAGGGGCATGTATGAAGAAGGAGGAGGGTGGGTGGGATCAGGAGAGGAGGAGGTAGGGGCTTATGGGGGGATACAAAGTGAATAAAGTGTAATTAATAAAATAAAATAAAATTTAAAAAAAGAAAAAAAAAGAACGGAATCTTACTCCTTTGGCTGCCTTCCTCATAAACTAGACATAGGGGCATAGACTCTGCAGGTTTTCAGTGTGCACATTTACTTGCTAAATTTCTAATTGGCAGTACAGGTTTCTCCTTTGTTCTAACTGAGGCTACAGATCACACTACCCATGAATTGTAGAGGTACTCTCTACTTTCTCACACTTGAAGGTACATCAGAATGCCCTCCCTAGAGCAAGAACCCTCAGGTGAAACCCTTTTTTATATTTCCCACACCAGAACTTCTGGTCCCTGGGGTCTTGGGTAAGGCCTGGGAAAGTGACTTTTTAACAAGCTCCTGGGGATCCCACTTTGAGAACTGCTGAAATGAATATCTGCACTTGGGTTTCTAGCATGGAATAAATACCACAATGATTGCTCAGGCCATCTCAAGTGTATAGCAGTTTCTCCTTTCCTCTAAAATAGTCTGATGTCAGTTATCATTGGAATTTCCAGTTCAGTCAGGAAATTCTGCCCCCAATGCCCACTTACACCTCATGGAACCCCATGAGGTTTTCCTGTGAAGATCTGGGTGCTGAAATTGGCTCTGAATGTTCTAAGAGAAAACAACTCTCCCTCTTTCTCTGGCTCTACATGTTTTAAACAAATACAGATGCTGATATGTTAGTGCTGGCAAAGGATTCTTGTTTGTGGGGCCTTTCATCTTCTTCTCCTTGGGCTTTCAGCCAGGGCAGGCCTGGCTCAAGCCAGCTCATGGTTTTGACGCATTCCATTGCCATGTGCCTTCCCTGCTCTAATGCATAAGAGTTTGAGTCTGTATCTTGACCTGACTGCAGACTATCTCTAGGCCTGTGGCCCAGAGTAATCATAAAACCAGAGTAGAAACCAGAGCTGCTTTGTACACACAGTGATGGAATCTAAGAAGCTTTCGGGTACTAAGATCAAATTTGAGTCAATGTTTTGTTTTGTTTTGTTTTGTTTTGTTTTGTTTTTTTCTCTAGAGATTCTAGAAAGTGAAAACAAATATGGCTGATTGTATCAGGTTCCCCCCCTTTTTATAGAGATCTTCTATTTTTTTAATTTTAATTTTTTATATTAATTAGTTTATTCACTCTGTATCCCAGCTGTAGCCCCTTCCCAATCCCACCCTCCTTTCCTCATCTCCTCCCATGCCCCTCTCCAAGGCCACTGATAGGGGAGGTCCTATCTGACTCTAGCCTATCAGGTCTCATCAAGACTGTCTGCATTGTCTTCCTCTGTGGCTTGGTAAGGCTGCTCTCCCATCAGGGGTAGGTGATCAAAGAGCAAGCCACTGAGTTCATGTCAGAGACAGCCCCTTTTCTTCTTACTACTGAACCCACTTGGAGACTGAGCAACCATGGGCTACATCTGTGCGGGGGTTCTGGGTTATCTCCATGATTGGTCCTTGGTTGGAGTATCAGTCTCAGAAAAGACCTCTTTGCCAGATTTTTTGGTTCTGTTGGTCTCCTTGTGGAGCTCCTGTCACCTTCAGGTCTTTCTATCTCTCCATTCTTTCATAAGATTCCCTGCACTCTACTCAAAGTTTGGCTATGAGTCTCAGTATCTGTTTTGATACTGTATTGGGTAGAGTCTTTCAGAGGCCCTTTGTGGAAACAGGGAACAGGACAGGGGACTTATTCTTGTTGGGTGACCCACAGGGGTCTGAGAAGCATAGCTGCCTCAGAAGACCCAAGCTGCCCCAGTCTTCATTTTAGGTCATTTTTCATAGATCTGACCATTGGCAATTCACTGGATTTTCATGGAATGCTTCCCAAAGAAGCTGGCCTTTCAAACACTCCATTAAAATCAAACAAGACATTTACTGCCACTAATGAAGTCTGCTGAGTTTGATTTTTCCTCCTTCTGGGTTGATGTTTTGCTGTTGTAGGTCAGGACATAATTTATGCTCAAACCCAAGACAGATCTAGAATTTATGTTTTCTCGGTACTGCTGGAACCAATCTAACTTGCAGACTTTATAGTCACCAAATTTATGAAGAGGATTTCTGAACTACAAATGCTTGATTTTTGTTGTGGTGGTGGTAAGGAGACTGCTCTCACTAAATTGCCCAGGCTGGCCCTGAGT